AGCAGGCTGTGTTGTTACACATGCTCTAAGACCAAAGGGAATGGAGTCCTCACTGGGGGGCTCTAACATGATAATGGGGAAGGGAATGCAGATTATCAGAGACGCAAAGGAGAAAGGAATACAGACCACTGTAGGCAGTCGGCTCCTGAAGCTGGGGGAGTATGGCTCGTGTCAATTCCATTTGACTGTTGCTTTTTTTAAAACTTGGGGCACCTGGGTGGCTCAGTTGGTTAAGCAGCCAACTTCAGCTCAGGTCATGATCTCGTGGTTCATGAGTTCGAGCCCCGTGTTGGGCTCTGACAGCTCGGAACCTGGAGCCTGCTTTGGACTCTGTGTCTCCCTCTCTCTGTGCCCTTCCCCTGCTCATGCTCTGTCTCTGTCTCTCAAAAATAAATAAACACTTAAAACAATTAAAAAGAAAAAAACAACACTTCCCTGAGCTCTTTAATTCCCAACACATGCTGAATATCATTGCATTTCCTTAGCAGTTTCCGTGGACCTCTGCTTTGATCAAATGAGAAAGGGGTTATTCCATTCCTAAGACCTTGGTTTGGACAAGTTATAGCTCAGGGTGTTTTATATGCGTCCTACGGAATACCTTGATGGACGGAAGTTAAATTTGTCCAACTAAGGGAAGGAAGTAAACGATCAATTTCATGATAACCCATTCTTTTTTTCCATTTTGACCTTTTAAAACGATTAAGTCTAATTAGTATAAAATTCTTACTGAACTCCCGGCTGGGTTAATGTGGTCAGACTATGAAAGCCAGACATTTGTTGGCAGTTGGCAATGCGTTCCTTCAGCTGTGGTAGTGCACCGATGTGTAGCAACTTCACTGACAGGCAAAGTCAGAATTCCCATCGCTCGGATTAACTAACGCGAATTCATGAATGGTGAGATCATGACCTGAAGCCGAAGTTGGACCCTTAACCGGCTGAGCCGCCCAGGTGCCCCTCCCGCATTTTGTTTTAATTTTTCCTGTTTTACTTTTCATATTTATGTCTTTAATTATGTCTTTAAACGTCGGGCTCTGGGCTGATGGCTCGGAGCCTGGAGCCTGTTTCCGATTCTGTGTCTCCCTCTCTCTGCCCCTCCCCCGTTCATGCTCTGTCTCTCTCTGTCCCAAAAATAAATAAACGTTGAAAAAAAAAAATTAAAAAAAAAATAAATAAATAAATAAATAAAAAAATAAAAAATTAATGTTCATTTATTTTTGAGAGAGAGAGAGAGCGTGAGCACACAGTAGGGGAGGTGCAGACAGACAGGGAGACACAGAATCCGAAGTGGGCTCCGGGCTCTGAGCCATCAACACAGAGCCCAACGCGGGGCTCAAACTCACGAACTGTGAGATCATGACCTGAGCCAAAGTTGGACGCTTAACTCACAGGGCCCCCTGGCGCCCCTCCTGCATTTTATTTTTAAATTTTTAGTGTTTTACTTTTCATATTTATGTCTTTAATCCGCCTGAAATTTATTTGTATATAGTGTTCTAATTTTAATTTTTACTCGTAATGCTGAATTACTTAACATCACTTATTGATTAATCCATCAACCAGTGACTGCACACTGATTTTTATTTTTTTTATTTTTTTATTTTTTTTTAATTTTTTTTCAACGTTTATTTATTTTTGGGACAGAGAGAGACAGAGCATGAACAGGGGAGGGGCAGAGAGAGAGAGGGAGACACAGAATCGGAAACAGGCTCCAGGCTCTGAGCCATCAGCCCAGAGCCCGACGCGGGGCTCGAACTCACGGACCGCGAGATCGTGACCTGGCTGAAGTCGGACGCTTAACCGACTGCGCCACCCAGGCGCCCCTGCACACTGATTTTTAATAGCAATTTCCTTTTTATAATTAGGTCTGTTTCTAGGTGTTGCCTTCAGTATTCTATATATTTGGCCCATACCAATGTTGCATTGTTTTAATTAACATAGGTTTGGGTTTTTTGGTTTGTTTGTTTTAAGAGAGAGAGAGAGCACAAGGGAGGGGAGGGGTGGAGAGAGAATCTCAAGCTGAGTGTGGAGCCCAATGTGGGGCTCGATCCCACCACCCTGGGATCATAATCTGGGCCAAAATCAAGAGTCAGATGTTCAACCAGCTGAGCCACCCAGGTGCCCCAAATTAACTTTGTTTTATAAGGAACCTTGATTTCTGGTAGGGAAAATCCTTCCCACTGGTTCTTCAGAAATGTCATGGCTGTTCTTTACCCTTTGCTCTTCCCTGGCCACTTCAGTCAGCAGAGCATGGGACTCTTGATCTCGGAGTTGTGAGTTTGAGCCCCACGTTGGGTGTAGAGATTGCTTCAAAAACAATAAAATCTTTCCTTAAAAAGATAAAAAAGAATAAAGTAACATTTTGGGGGGCTTGACTATAGAGATGCCATTTTATTTTCAATATTGATTTATATCCAGAAAGCTTGTTGTTAAATGTGCTTGTGAGTCCCGATGGTTTACGTGTATATTCTCTTAGATATTCTATGTAGAAAATTAGATTTTGAACAATAATAATATTATGATTATCTTAACTCTTGTTTTACATTTTCCTTTTCTTGATTTTTTGCATGGTCTAGGACTTCCTATATACCATTGACTAGGAAACATAATAGCAATCATGGTTGTCTTGGTCCCGATTTGAAAGGGAATATTCTAGTATTTCACTCTTAGGTATAATGTTTGCAATGAGTCTGCAATAGACATCTACGATAGAGTAAGAGAAATCTTACTTATTCCTAGTTTGTTACCAGTATTTTAGAAATGTTATGTGTCTTTGTAATGGTAATATTGTAATTATCTACTTTAATCTATTAACATAGTGGATTATTTTCATAGATTTCTCTAATACCTAACCATCATTGCATTTCTAGGACAAACCCTACTTGGTCATCATACGTGTATTTTTATGGATTTAGTTAGGATTTTTTAAAAGATTTATTCACCGTATATTGTGTAAGACAGGATTTTATCGAACTTTCAGAACTTTGCCAGTCTTGCAAAATTAATAATGAGGCATTGTTTTAAGCTACATTTCTATTACTATGAGTGGGGTAAAGCATTTGTTCATATATTTAAGAAGTATTTGTATTTCCTGTACTGTGAGCTCTCTTCTGTATCCACGTCCTACAGTTGAATTATTGGTTTTTTCCTTTATTTGTGGAGACTTTATTTACATATTTACATATAATGTTATTATATGTAACATTATAATATTTACATATTAAGGAGATTAACTATTTAACTATAATCAGAGTTAAACACATATTTTCTTTTTAAAACTTGAGGAATGAGAACATTTAAGTTCCAGCTCTTAGCAAATTTCAGTTACATAGTACAGTGTTATCAAATATAACCACTGTTATATACATTATATTCTAAAGCCTCATTCATCTTATAACTAAAAGTTTATAAGCTTCTACCACTCTCTCCATTTTTCCCCCCCCCCCCCCCCCCCGCCCCCAGCTCCTGGCAACCACTTTCTACTCTATTTCTAGGAGTTTGACTGGGTTTTTTGTTTGTTTGTTTTAGATTCTACATGTAAGAGACATCATGCAATATTTTTCTTTTTCTGTGGCTTATTACTTAGCATAATGCCCTCCAGGTTCATCATGTTATTGCAAATGACAGGATTTCACTTTTTTTAAGCCTGGATCATATTCCCATATATGTCACATTTGTTTGATACATTCATCCACTGATGCATACCTAGGTTGTTTCCAGATCTTGGCTACTGTGAATAATGCTGCAATGAACAGAGGAGTATGGATATTTCTGAGATCTGTTTTTTTTTTTTTTTCTTTTGAACATATATCCAGAAGTGGGATTCCTGGATCCCATGGTACTTATTCTCTTTTTAATTTCTTTAGGAGCTTCCATACTGTTTTCCATAGTGGCTGTACCAGTTTACATTCCCAACAGTGCACAGGGGCTCCCTTTCCTCCACATCCTCATCAGCACATATTATCCCTTGTCTTTTTGATAATAGCCATCCTAACAGGTGGGAGGGGGTATCTCATTGTGATCTTCATTTGCATTTCCCCGATAACTCATTGTGTTGAGCACCTTTTCATGAGCCTGCTGGCCATTTGTCTGTCTTCTGTGAGAAACCTATTTTCATTGGTTCTTTGGTTTTGATCTTATTATACTTTGCCTATGTGTTCACCATGCTGTTTTGTTGCTATTTTTTATACCAAACTTATACTTTTACATAAAATATATCAGCTTAAATATATCGAATGTATCTTTCTTTTAAAACATGCTGATTTTGAGTTACAATGAGGAAGTCCTTCCCCACTCAGAGGTCATATAATATTTTCCCTCATTTCTTCTGCCATTTTTATGGTTTTCTTTTCTATGGTGAAGTCATTGGCTCATTTGGAATTTATCCTAGCATACAGTGGAATATAAGGATCCAACCATAGTTTGTTTGCTTGTTTGTTTGTTCCAGTCTTCCTAATACTGGGTATTGAATGTTCATTTTTTCCCCACTGATTTTAAGATGCCATACTTACATATGCTAAGTTCCCTGACGCCATTCCCGCTGTCTCCCTTTCTGCTCTAATGGAAAGGGATAGTTCATTTTTCATCAATATATGGATTTGTCTGTATGTTACCCCCCCCCCTTTCACTTGTGGTCTTATAAGTATTTTACATCTCTTTTATTCTTCCTACCAAATCTTAAGCTCCTTGGGAACAAACTTTTTATTAACAATAATTAGTAAATAAATTCCTTAAGTAAAAGACATAGACAGTTGAAAGCCCTCATGCCACGAACTCCTGGCCCATGACAAAAGGGTGCCATGTAGCTTGTTCCATTCTTTCAAGTATCATCTCTCTGCCCTGGGTTTGGAGTAGATACAGTGTCTGTTTAATTTCGCCAGCAGGAGTGGTGGGGCATGGCCACAAAAATCACGGGCCTTGTGTCCCCAAGTTGGATAACCTCTCATGTCCAATTGCATTGTGCAGAGAGATGTGAAAGCTGCCCTTCTGTGTCCCATTTCTCCCAGGAGAGATCCCAGACCTCTACTCCGATGATGAAGTTGAAAACATCATAAACAACGTGAGGAATGAAGTCAAGAGTCAAGGTCTGGTAGACAACAGAGGGAACTGCTGGAAATTCTTTATAGATCGGGTCCGACGACAACTGAAGGTATAAAAGGATTTACTGCGCCGGGTAGGCAGACCAGAGATGGTTCACGAGAACCTCTACTGATAACTCGGCTGTCCTTCTTGATTGTACTGGGAGTGGGCAGTATGGGTGGAGTGACTTTCTCAGCCTGAGCAATTTTGCAAGGCTGCCCTTCTCATCCGATTCAAGGGCAGTGGCCTCCCTCTTGCCTCATTCGGTCCCAGCTTTCTTAATTTCTTGGTGAGAAGCCTGGGTGGTATTGACAGATTTTTTTTTTTTTTTTTTTTTACTCCTTTGGATGCGTTTCCCAACTTTCCGGGAAATAAAGAACCTAAAGCCATAGCTATCTCCCTGTGAGAACTTCTGATACCTTCTTGGTTCTCCCCACCCTTATGACTTCTCAGGTGACTCTCTGTTTCTCCCCTGTGGGGAACAAGCTGAGGGTCCGCAGCAGGAAGTTTCCAGCCATTGTGAACTGCACAGCCATCGACTGGTTCCACGAGTGGCCTCGGCAGGCATTGGAGTCTGTCAGCCTCCGCTTCCTGCAGAACACAGAAGGCATTGAGGTAAGAGGGCAAAGGAGACACTCGTCAAGATCCTCTCCACCTCGGGTACAAGGAATTCCATGTCCAGAGTTTCAGGATTCAAGTTCAAGCTTGGATAGAGTCGTCGGAGCAAAACCTTCCATGTAGCGAGGCAATGAGCAGGGTGGGCCACCACCGCCAGTCTTCACGTCCAGACAGTAACTCTGATTTCCTGCTCTTCACGTTCAGCCCACAGTCAAGCAGTCGATTAGCAAGTTCATGGCCTTTGTCCACACAAGTGTCAACCAGATGTCCCAGGCTTATCTGAGCAACGAGCAACGCTACAACTACACAACCCCTAAGTCATTCCTGGAGTTCATCAGACTCTACCAGAGCTTGCTGCGCAGACATGGAAAAGAGCTCAGGTCCAAAATGGAGCGTCTCGAGAACGGACTGCTGAAGCTTCACAGCACCTCTGCCCAGGTGGGTAGCGTTCTTTCATGGCTTGTGCATGCGGGGCACTGAGAGGGAGCGGGAGCACCCCATTCCGGGGAACTGGAGAGATCACAGTCCAGGCCTGAAAATCACTTATGGTTCCCCAGAGGCCTCAGAGTCACCAGAAACCATTCCAGAAGTTAAGGCTGAGCTCTCCCTGCAGAAGGGCACGCTGTCCCCTTCAGGTCTGGTCTGCTGCCACCTACTGATGATGGAATCCTCTGGAGCACCTCTTCTCTCTTGCTTGCTACCCCTCTCCTCCTCTTCCGCCACCTTCCTTTCTTCTCCAGTCCACTTCCCCTCCATCTCCAAAACTAAAAAGACATGGTTGCCGAACTGTACCGATTCTCTTTGGTTTCTTTGTGTCTTACTCTGTCATCTGTCAAAGCACCATTGGGACCTAATTTCTTAAATCCTGTCTCATTCCTTGCATTTCCTCGTGTGTCCCTAAGTGGTTGGCCATCGAAAGAAGGCCCCTGTTGTCCTGTCCCGGTAAGATTTTTCTACTTCCTCTTCCAAAGGGAACGGGTTTGTTTCAATTTCCTGTTCTTCCCTTGAGAATTGGGGACAATTCTGGCACCTTCTCTGCCCCTGCTTGTGCCCATCAAACACTGCCAGTCCCTTGATGGCCCTTTTTTTGTGTGCTCTGTTTGCCAGAAGCAGACGCAGTCTCTCATTCAGGTGGTGTCATCTTCATGCATTTGCACCATTAAACTAAAATTGTGATTAGTTTGATCCATGGGCATCACGTGTTCCTACAGATACCTAAGCCTTTCACTTATTGTCATTGTTTCAGAGCTTTGCCTTTGGACTAACTATTCAACTTGCTTCTTCTGAGTTGTCCTCTCTCCCCGCTTCTGTTTCTTGAACGGTAGATGTAATAGGTCTAGAGGATTTCAGTGCATTTAGTGGGATGCAGTGAGCCCTTGCGGTCTGTTCACAGAGAATGTCTTCTGCCCAGAAAAAGCTGTCTTCTGTTATCTGATGTTGTTCATCTGGCCTGGCCTCTCCTCCAGGAGCAATGATTTGCCGGATGGCTTCTCTGTGTCCCGCATCTATTATGTTCTCACTCACTGATCTCATTCTTTTGGCTTTTTTTTTTTTTCCGTCTGTGTTCTAAGAGAACCTTTCACGTTGATCCCGGACAATTCTAGTTTCGTGCTGTGTAATATTGCTTCTGCTTCTTACGCTTACAGGGAAGGGTTTAATTATGCTACTACATTTTTAATATCCTAACAGCCCTTCCCCATCTCATCCTTTTCCCTGTCCAATGCATCCTATAGCTTTTTTATTTCAGCCTGTTTTCCTGCAACGGTGTCACAGAAACCATCCTACCGAGGATGGTGAACTGCTTTCTCCAGGTTTTCCCTAGATCTGGTAGTACGTCATGTGCAGAACTGTGTTCTTCTTAGCCTCCTACATGGTTTTCCCATCCTTGTCCTATATTTCTAGAAAGACCCTTTTATCTTTTTCTTTCTGTGCCTTCAGGCATGGTGAGCTCGGTCCGAACTCAATGTTTGTGCACTGATGACACGTGCCAGTTGTCCACGATGCTTCTTGGTTTCCATTTATGCCATGGCCACACCCCTTCCCAGAGCTACAGTGCAGGGCAGGTCGAGGGACACAGACCCAAGCCAAAGGCCTAGCAGTTTACCCGGCATATGTACTGTGGTTGTGGAAATGTCACATCTTCTCTCCCAACACTTTCTAGTGTTTCCAGCACCCTCCATCTCTGAACTTCTAGAACTCAGCATAAGATAGGATCCCGGAATGCAGATTCTTAACATCTGTCGCTTCTTCCTCTTCCTGTCTCCTCCCCCACCCCTGACGTATGGTGCCCTCTCAATACTGTCATCTTAGCAGCCCCTGTTCTCCCTCCCCTCCCTGTCCTCTGGAAATTCCAACCGTCCCAGGAGAAGACTGGTTATACCTTCGGCCAACCCAGTGCTACCTGCGTGTGGAGAGTGGAGAATTCTTTTCAGTCCTGGCATCAATTTCCATTTCTTCTCCTTCAAAGTTCTCTGCTTCGACGAGCGATACTTTCATCTACCCAGTTCCCTAGAAAGCGGGGAGTTACCTTCGATTCCTCCCCTTCCCTCATTTCCCGTTTAAGAATTAACAACTTCTTGGGGCGCCTGGGTGGCGCAGTCGGTTGAGCGTCCGACTTCAGCCAGGTCACGATCTCGCGATCTCGCGGGATCTCGTGATCTCGCGGTCCGGGAGTTCGAGCCCCGCGTCGGGCTCTGGGCTGATGGCTCGGAGCCTGGAGCCTGTTTCCGATTCTGTGTCTCCCTCTCTCTCTGCCCCTCCCCCGTTCATGCTCTGTCTCTCTCTGTCCCACAAATAAATAAACGTTGAAAAAAAAAAAAAGAATTAACAACTTCTGTACATTTCCTAAACGTGTCTCAGGTGTACCCTCTTGTTGTATCCCCCTTTTCTATGTCTTGATTCAGACACTTCTTACCTAGGTCATTTCAATACCTGGAACTCTCCAGTGTCTCCCTGGTCCCGAACCTGCTTCACCTGCAACCTCTCGCATCACCCATGAGGCCAAAATCCTTGGGGTCATCCGTGACCCTTCTCAATTCTCTCTCTCACACACACACACACACACACACACACCCTGTGCCCAAGCATCAGAAAATCGCCATTGGCCCTAACTTCAGACGAGCCCCGAATCCCCCCACTGTGCACCTCCCACGCTGCTACTCCCCTGACCCAGGCCACTGATCCTACCCGGGGAACCACAGTACCTTTCCAACTCACTTGTCTGCTTCTCCTTCTGTTCCTCTTGGGTCCGTCATCATGGGAGCACCCAGAGGGATCCGTTCAAAACAGGAATCAGAGCATGTTACTTTTCTGCTCAAAACCCTGAGATGGTCCCCATTTCCCTCGCTAAAGTGGCGCCCCGGTCTCCTCTCCCCACCCCCCCACCCCGCCCTGCAAACTGTCAGACCTCATCTTCCGCTGCCCCATGCCCGCGACATTCCTCTCCGGCCATGCCGCCGCCTTGCTCTTCCCTCAGACATGCCAGGCCTTTGCACTGGCTGTTTCCTCTCCCTGCGTGTTCTTCCTTCTCTCACCCCCACGACTCACTCCCTCATCTCGACTTCTTTGTTCATATGTCATCTTCTCAGTGAATCCCATTCCGATGGCCCCATTTTAAATTGCAACCCCACCCCATTCCCAGGTCCCTTACGGGGCTTGACTTCACCTCTTTCCCGTACTGGTTGTGTTTACTTTTTGCTGTCGATCCCCATCTGTCAGACAACCTCGGCATGGACAGGGATCCTTATCTGTTCTGTTTGCTGATGTGTCCCACATGCCTGAAACACTACCTGGACAGAGGGGGCATGCGTGAAATGTTGAATGAATGAATGGCATTTTGTTTAGCCTCTCCCAACATTCTGGACCCCCCGTCCAAGAGAAATATCCTGCAAGTCATAAATGCAAATTTCAGTTTCCTATTAACTGTATCAAAAGAAATAAAAGGAAACTAGTGGCTTTCATTCTAACATTAGATCTTAAATTTACCTAATTTTATCATATATTTTAAGAATACATTTTATTTAACCCAATACATCCATGATATTATCATTTTAACAGGTAAGCAATGTATGAAGAAGTTATTGGTGAAATATTTTTTTTCCTACAAGGCTTCAAAGACTAGTGTGTGTGCGGTTATAATTACAGCACATCTCAGATGGGACAAGCCACATTTCAGGTGCTCATTCCCCAAACTAGACAGCACAGCTCTGGACCAGCCCCTGTCTGGCTATCAGACTGATCTTCGCTCAAAACATTGAGTTTTCTCTAATGTGGACCCTAATGTTTTAGACATTACATTTCAGACTCTCTGAACTTTTCTAGAACTTTCAAACTATACCCTTGCCTCTTTCGCCATCCTTTCTTCCTCCCTTCGACCCCATTGTACCCTGGCATTCAGCAATACTGACTGGTTGGAGTCGCCCCAAATCTCCACAGCTAGTTCACATCTCTGTGTCTTTATGTGTGCCCCTGACTTGCCAGCTTGTGACTGTCAAGACGTAAACAGTTTGCTCCCTCCACTCGCAGAAGCCCCTTCTAAGTTCTGAGAAGATTTTCATTCCGTTCTCTGTGGTTCCATCTCGGCATTATGTTTCTTCTCTTGTATATGTCCTGCCACACCATCATGGCGGCATGATACCCAAGGGCAGACACCAGGATTCATTGGCACATAGTAGGTGTTCTCTAAGTGTGTGGATAAATGGGTAGATGACAGATGGCTAGGCAACCAAGCAAATGAGTCACCTGCAAGCTTAGAGTGGGGATGGAGGACGGGTCCCCCAATACTGTGTACGTGGTGTATATTTCATACTTACGGATGGTTATGAGGATAATTCTTCTTGTAAAAATACTATCTTGGCTTCTGATGTAAAGCCTTCATCTGAAATTGTTCCTTTGTAGAAAAAAGCCTTAAGCATATCCCCATAATCTTGGTACAAGGGTAATGACTTGAATTATATTGTATAAGTATCCTACTACCCACTTATGACAGATTTTGGTATTCATAATCCAGCGGGAGTGGGCTACATGAATCTCACCACTCTGGCTCAGATGGACTCCAGATTTATTTAACAATGATCACAATATTAGGAGCAGTGATGATGATGATAATAATGACAAGAATTACTAATTATATGGTCATCTAAAGTTTATAAAACTTCAGACACAGTTTCATGCTTAGACTCGCCTGGTCAGAAACACCACTTTATTTTTCTACACTGAGATTTGACTTAGCTCCAGATCCGTCTTTTTCATTTAAGAGTAGGAAATTCTCGGGGCGTCTGATGGCTCAGTTGGTTAAAACGTCCGACTTCAGCTCAGGTCACGATCTCGTGGTTCCTGAGTTCGAGCCCCACATCAGGCTCTGTGCTGACAGCTCGGAGCCTGCTTCAGACTCTCTGTCTCCCTCTCTCTCCGCCCCTCCCCCACGCTCGCCCGCTCTCTCCTGCTTTCTCTAAAACATGAATAAACATTAAAAAAGTTTTTTTGTTTAAGAATAGGAAGCTCTTGATCTTACTTTTCTGGTCGACTTGGTCACTTCAGGTTAAAAAAAGTCTCTGGAGAGCAGTCAGTTCAGAGTGTAGTTCTACCTTGGGGCTGTTTCCGTGTGAAGGGTCTTTTGCCCCTTTGCATCTCGCTGGTGGTGGTTTCAGGAGGCAGCTGGTGAAGCTTCGTGTGTGGTCTTCCAGCTCTCACTGGCTCTGCCGAGGGTGGCTGATTCCGCTGGGTCTTTGGGTGGCATCTTCTGTCTTTGCTACTGCCTCATATGAGGGTGGTGTTACTTCTGTTCCGTCTCTTAGCACCATCAGAACCCTCACCCCTGACCTGGGTCTCACGCCATCTCCTGGCATCTTCAGGACACACTGTCACCCTCACTTCTATACCTAGCTCAAGTGTACTCATGAGGGAGAAGGGCTGTTGGACTGAAGAAATGTTCATAAGAGGCCTACAGTTCGTTACCGGTTCCCTCCGTCGAAGATTTACTCCCCAAGTCTGTTCGTCCGGAGACTCTTAAATTCAATCTTTCTTGGGCTTTCAAAGAATCTCAGGCCACCGAATTTACCTGAAGTTGACAGGTCAGTAATTTACCATGATGTAGGCATCAGGACTCTTTTGGTGCAAGTGAAAAAAAAAAATGAATTCAAATTCAGTTAGCAAAAAAAGAGGAAAAAAGAAGAAAAGGAAAAGACTGGTGGGGTGGGGGTGGGGAATGAGATTACATGATATATTTATCAGATCCTTTTGATGGCAGCTGACCAAAATCCGGCTGAAGTTGGTCTAGGCAAAACAACAACAAAAAATAAAACAAGCTGTTTCCTACAAGTGAAAATTCAGAGATAGAGCTTAATTTTGACAGGGCTGGAGCCAGATTCTCACTAAATGTCCCTGTCCAGGCAGGCAACCCCATGGCCCTGCCAACCTCAGACTTCTATTCTGCCTGCTTTGCAACTTCACCATAAGGAGGAGTTCATCTTTCCCAGGATTTTATAGCAAGTTCCTGGGGCAAATGGTCAGTAGCTCTGATTGGCCTCTTCATATCATTGGTTTGCCCATATGTGAACCATTCTCTGTGACTTCGACACTCTCCTTGGCCAAGTGAGGATCAAAGGACCACCTTTGGTGTGTCAGCCCCACCCAAACCACGAGGACTAGGGAAGGGAATATTCCCCAAGGGAAATTCAAACTTATTTCCAATACAGGGATGAGAAGTTTTATTAGGTAGACAAATATAACAGATGTCTACTGCAGATGGGAAACCACTACGTCTAAGAAGAGAAGCCTACATGAACTGTGAATTCATGGGAGAACATGGTGGGTGACCAGAAGGACCCGGGGGGTAAGAAGGCAAAGACCTCTGGGCCTCTAATGCTCTGCACACTAGGGATTGCTGTTGATGATCCCGGGTTTTCTCTCTTCCTTCTGTGGCTCTGAGGAGAAGGTCCCAGAAAGCTTGGCCTTCCTCTTTGGCATCATGTTCCTGGTCCTTGGAGAGAGGACGGTCTCTCACCACCAGCCTCTTGGCACTCCACTCAGTTGACATTCCCCTCCCACTTATATTCATGGAGCTGGCAAGACTGAAGAGAGGGTCTCTTCCTTGTTTTTGTCCCTCTCCCCCTTGACCCTCCTATCTGGGGGCGGGGGTGGGTGTCTAAAGAGGAAGAGATCCAAGGCGGGGGCTCGAATGTTTTGAATAAAGGCGAAGAGAAGAGGAAATTTTAACTTGACCTCTTTCAACTTCCTGTTCTGACCTACTGCGACTTCCTGTTCTAACCTACTTAAACTTCCTGTTCTGCTGCCAAAGAGCCATGAAACGAGCCTGACTTACTTATGCCCTCTCTTCAGCTTTGTGTGGAGCGGCCTAGTTCTGACTGGCGGGACCCTTGTGTCACTTCTTGTCACGGCACGAGAGCTACAAAGCTCCCATCCACAGTGCTGGTGTTTGCCTACCTTGGGCCTGAGGTCGTACACCCTATCTGTCAGCCACAAAACAAACAGACAAACAGCAACAACAGAATTTAAAAAAAAAAAAAAAAAAAAAAAAAAAAAAAACCCACTCCAATTTTCTCAAATCTCCCCAGATTTAAAAAGGAACAAAAAGTTACTGGTGTGCTTGCTGACTGCAGTGATTATGTGGTTCAATCATTTTGATTTACAATTGCATCTTTGTCCTTGTAGAAATAACTCCCTGCAGCTGAACCATGGGATTTAGAAATGGATTAACCTTCCAGCACGGGAATATAAGACTTGTTCTCGGGAGCAGGCCTTCATTTGAGGTTAACAAAAAGTCTCCAGTTTCCATGAATACACAAAATTAAAGAGCATTCTTTCTTCCCCCCCCCCACCCCCCACTTTCCTTTTCTTTTCTTTTGCTCTGCCATGAAAAGGGAATTATCAGCAGCATCTAAGCCTCTGTTTTATTTTTCCCCTTATGCATTTTGTATCATAAAGCATTTGAATCTGTTTGACGTATTCCAGGAGCTCTGAAGTAATCTTGGGTTGTTGCATGGAACAGACTGCAGAAAAATGAGAGGCGGGAGGGCATTTTGCGATATAAAGTTTATGGGCCCTATTGCAAATACCAATGGCTTTTTTTTTTTTTTTTTTTTTTTTTTTTAATTCCACAAAAAAAAACAGATCTGAGTCTTCTTTCTGCAGGTGAAAGGGCCATAAAACCAGGCCAATGGGTCTCAAACCTAGGTGGGCACCAGATTCAGCCAGAGGGCCTGTTAAAACACAGATCGCCAGGCCCGCCTTCAGAATTTCTGACTCAGTCGGTCTGGAGTGGGCCTGTGAGTTTACCTTTCTGGCAAGTACCCAGGGGATGCTGTTGTCAGTGGTGGTCCAGGGAACCACACTCCGAGAACCACCACACTCTCCGGAACAGACCGTACATAGAAAACCATGCCTCCTTCTCCAGGGGGTCAGAGAAATGAACGGTCTCCTCCGTGGGGAGCTTCTTCACTTCCTCCAAACGCATATGAATTCAGAGGCCCGATGGGGAGAGCCCATTGGGTTCTGGTCTGGGCCACTGGGTCCGCGTCAACCTGGTCATCTGTTTCCTGAAAGGACTGCGGAACTAGACTAAGACCAAACCAGTGAGACCAAGTGAACGCTCTCTACGCAGAGCTGGCTCCAGCGGGCACCTGGTTTCGGGCAGAGATTCAAAGGCAGCCCGCGGGGTGGGAGGGCTTCTTGGTGGGCAAGAAAGGAAAGGTGTCGGATGTGTCCCGATGGAGGCTGGTGGCCTGCGGAGCTGGAGGGGGGCTCCCTAGAAGTGGGCATCCTGTGTGATCAGTTGGGGGAGCGTGTTTGACTTTCTCTGGCTGCTCCTAAGTGGGAAGCAGGGGCAAAACTGAAGGAAGTCGTCCGTTGTTAACCAAGTGCTGGCCATCCGGGGCCGATTGCTGCAGAGGCCGCTGTCTGTTTGTCTCCCTGGATTGTGACGTATTCGGGAGTCTGGCCTCCTGAGCTGGTTATTGTAGATAATGGGTTGGTCTCCTGGTCGCCAGGAGATTGCAATTGTGGGTCAGCGTTCTACTTTGATACGCAGCCCGGCCGCTGTCTGTTCGTACATTCAGTCTTTCAGGATGCACGGGACGTACTCACTGTCTGTAACTTGCTAAATTCTCGGTGTACTTCACGTTGGCCAGTTCCAACTAGACAACGACTGCTTTTTACAACAGGCCCGCTCTGCACCAAGTAGTATCCGAGGCAGGAGGAGTTTTATGAGACGCAGGCATCAATGGCCGTGGGAAGCAGCCTAAGTCATGTGGGCCCAAGGGAGAATCTTGCTTAGAATCTTCCATCCGCCACATTTACCATAGAGGGAGGAAGAAGAGAGAGCCCAGTGCCCCTTTCCGCCCATGGGGTCAGGGCGCTTGGTCCCAGGTGAGAGCTCAGCTTAGGCACCTTCGCTTCAGGAGTTGGCCGTTTTCCTCTATAGGGTCAGACCCCCAGGGCCGTGTCCCAACTCCCTCTGCTCCCAGTAAGCCCAGCGCTTCTCTGCCGCAGGTAGATGATCTGAAAGCCAAGCTGGCCACCCAGGAAGTGGAGGTGAGACACAAGAATGAGGACGCAGACAAGCTGATCCGGGTGGTGGGCATAGAGACGGACAAGGTGAGCAGAGAGAAAGCCATCGCGGACGAGGAGGAGCGGAAGGTGGCCCTCATCATGCAGGAGGTAAAGCAGAAACAGAAGGACTGTGAGGACGACCTGGCCAAAGCGGAGCCGGCGCTCACAGCAGCCCAGGCAGCCCTCAACACCCTCAACAAGGTAGGACGATCATCCCTCCCTACTGCTCGCCCCTCGCAGGGCCGGGGGGAGGCCCCTCCGACCCAAAGACAGCGCGGTACCCTGGTGTCCCAAAGAGGTACAAGAGCAAAGCTGGAAGGCTCAGGGTGGGATCCAGCTGTCACGGGTTTATTCATTACGCCACCATTTATTGAAACCGCCTGTGTGTCGGGCTCCGCAGAGGACCAATGAAATCCCAGAGGCGTGAGTCTTAGAACCAATCAGAACAGGAGATGCCAGCTAGTCCCTCCCCCACCCCCCAACTTCACAGATGGCAAAGCCAGGGCCCCGAGAGGAGCACCGACTTGTCCAGCGTCACAAGCCTCATTAGAGCCAGACTGGAGCTCACACCCTCAGGATCCAAGTGCAGAGATCGTCCAGCTAAGTAGCCCGTGGTCGTCTTACCCATTTCGTACCACCAGCCGCACGAGCCTCAGGAGGCCCTAGGGAGACGTTTAGGACAGGAGAGGAAAACCCATGTTGGCTCCAAAATGGGGAGGGGGGGAGGGGGGGGCCCTACAAAATCAAAATTCACAAATATTCCACTGTTCACGGCACCCGTGTATCAATTAAAGTCAAGCCCTGTCCATAACCGTTTGGTAGGACAGGCATGACTTTTGAGACGTATTCACAAGGTGCTTTTGATTGGATTCCCGTGAAATGTATCCCAGGTATGTGTGCGTTGGACAGGTGAGAATTAGCTCCTTCTTCCTTTTATCGCCTTTTTGCGATTACGCTTCTTTCCCTCTCGGATAACTGTGGCTGAGGGGCCAAGGGGAGAAAGGGAGAAAAGGGGGCGGACAGACTCAGGACGTGAGGAGCAGGTGGCAGAGAAGGACCGAAAAGCTGACCCTCTCTCTGTTGGATGGAGACCCTCCCCCAGTCATTGGGACCTCTCCCCTGCAGGGCGCTTTCTCCTCCTCTCCCGGGTTTGGCAATTCACATGCCCTTCCACGTGGGCCACTTGGCCAAGGTCTGAGACATCCTGTCCCACCTGTGCTGTGCAGGCAGCTCACCTCAGCTCCACGGGGGACACCTGTGCCTCCTTTCCCCAAAGGCACTGAGAATGTCAGCCACCCATGCAACACGCTCTCCCTCGTTCCGTGGTTGGTGGGGAGGTAGGTGGGCTAGCCAGCTGTTCTCACACATTCTAGATTTCTGGGGTATGCATTAGACACCAATCCACTATGTCATGCAGACTACACCCCACGCCCTCCTTTAAAGGCAGAGTGGGTGGGACTCACCAGCAGGTCTCACGGAAAATTCTCTCTTAGTCCCCAACTTGCTGACTCTGACACCCTCAGTGCAGGTGAGGCATTTGACGCAAAGCACTGGCCTTCTGGAACCTCCATCTCACGCCTCACTTTGGAAGGTAGCATCCAGTGGTTTAGGGCCTCATCAAATCCAAAGCTAAACTAGGAACACCGTAGAAGCCTGTGACATATAGCTACGTATACATTGGAAGTTGAGCTACAAGGGCATTCTGGTATATCTAAGGATGGGGGGGGGCTGGATCCCCTAAAGGTTAAGGCAGCTAGGGCCAAAAAGGCCATAAACAGGCCTCTACCTACATCAGGAGAGAATTCAAGGTTCTCCTTAGGAACTTGGGTACCATCGGGTGGAGTAGGAGTTGGCCCCATTACGCCACCTGAACCTTATAGCACAGCCAAGCCAGGCTGCCCCTCAGAGCGTCATCCACTGGCCGGCCTCCTGGCCTTTGGTTAGCCTGGACCCCTCCCCACCACCATTGTTTAGGGCTCGCTCTCCTATCGCTTCCTCCCGTCTAAATCCTACCCGTATTCTAAAATCAGACTTAACATTTGGGATCAATCTCGCCCTTTTCTGATTTCCCGAACATGAAACACGAGACCACTTTTAACATGAGCCGCGTCCAAATACCGGGTTTGGCTCTGGGTGTGATTTTCTCTTTGCTTGGCCCCTGTTTCCTCATCTGAGCAATGGAGGCGACAGTGACGCAGTCCCCATGAGGTTGTCATCGGGACGAAATGAGATCATGCCTGAAACGTAGCTAACAGATGGGAGCCGCCCAGTCAATGCTGGCTCTTGTCGATGTCACCATCACCCGCATCATCACTTCTGTTTCCGCAAAACTGGAAACAAAGTGAATGCCCGTAAATACTTCTGGGTTAATTAGTTGGCTGGTTAGTCGACTAACCAGTTGGCTGGTTAGTTAGCAGATTGGTCGTTGGTGGAAATAAACATAATATAGTGGTGGACCTCGTGGAAGCGATGAGATACGATACTGGAAATAGCGGTGGATTTGAAAGTCTCAACGCTTCCGCCACAAAGGATATGAAACTCATTTTTTTTTAATTTTTTTTTCAACGTTTATTTATTTTTGGGACAGAGAGGGACAGAGCATGAACGGGGGAGGGGCAGAGAGAGAGGGAGACACAGAATGGGAAACAGGCTCCAGGCTCTGAGCCATCAGCCCAGAGCCTGACGCGGGGCTTGAACTCACGGACCGCGAGATCGTGACCTGGCTGAAGTCGGACGCTTAACCGACTGCGCCACCCAGGCACCCCATGAAACTCATTTTTAATGAGTGCCTACTGTGTGCCAGGCAAGATGATAGGTGCTTTCCTCCAGCCGGCTGCAGAGCCTGGCACACATCGCTGAGGTTCTTGACTCCTTGCTTTCTCTTGTTACGTAGAAAGGGGCGGGTGCGAATCAATGAGCGCCTTATGTCACGCTGCCCTAACCAGTCAGCAAATTCTGTCAATTCTGCCTTCAAATATATCCTGAATTCAAATGCTTCCTGTCCTCTCTGCCGCTACCCCTCTGGTCCAAGCCACTGTCCCCTATTACCTGGACTGTTGCAGTAGCCTGTCAGTTGGCCTCCCTGCTTGCACCCTTGCCCCAGTTCTGTCTTTGCCCATTACAGCCACCTGAATAATCTTTTTTAAAACAGCAGTTTGACCACATCATCCCTCTGTTCAGAATCTTCCATTGGCTTCCCATCATATTCAGAATAAAATCCAAAGTGGCCCGGGAGACCTTACAATTTTGCCCAGTTCCCTCTTCTGCGATGCCAGTTACTAGCCTTCCTCTTGTCCCTCTGACCCCCCACACTGGTCCTGCTGTGTCTCAGACACTCCCAGCACAATCCCACCCCAGGGCCTTTGAACAAGCAACCACCTCTATGTGCAGTGCTCTTCCTACACAAACCCCCATGCCTCCCTCTTTCAGGTATTTGCCCAAAAGTTACCTTCGCAGGAAACAAATAATAAAAGCGCTCATTAATTTCAGGAAAAAAAAATTCAGCATATGCAAGATACATAATATAACCCAAGGTGACCAGTATTTATGGTCATAATCATGTCATAATCGCACTGAACATGAACTGAACGAAAAAAGTTGATAGAACCATAATAAGTAGGAGCAAACGGGAGGGCAGTATAATAGCTAAAATATTCCCACTCCGAGGAGGAAGCCACTTGCTAACTTCTAAAATGAAAAAAAACAAAACATGTTCCATATCAATAAGGAGCGAAATCTGGAAGAAACAGGGGAAGAAATTGCCAGCCATGGCTTCTGGAGAGCTGGGGTCAGAGATAACCAGAGCCAAAGTCAAGAGCCAGGCATTTAACGGACCAAGCCACCCAGGCGCCGGAGACAACATTTTTTTTTTTTAATTGAGGTATAATTGACATAGAAGGATCTTCGTTTCAGGTGCACAACATCATAATTCAGTGTTTGCATGTATTGCAAAATGGTCACCACAGTAAATCCAGTGAATATCCATCGCCACGCGTAGGTTTGTGTGTGTGTGTGATGAGACCTTTCGTGATTTCCTCGCTTTTCAAATACATGGCACAGTATCGTCACTACAGTCTCCGTGCTGTAAATGACATCCCCAGGACTTATTTCCCTTATAACTGGAAGTTGTACCTTTTGACCCCCTTTGTCGATCTCGCCTCCCCGCCCCCCGCCTGGTGGAATAGAATGACTAGATCAGCCTGTACGCCATGTGATGGAGGGATTATTGCTTCATGAACCCCAGGATCCCTGGGGTGCCCTCAAACCCTCTGCGTTCCCAGGACTCCCGGTATTTAATGACCACCTCCCTGTCTTCTCATCTTTTTCAAAGTTAACATTAAATCTTTAGTTAATACATAAAGAACACCTGTAAGTCAGAGCCCGGTGTTAAGTCTCTGCTTTGGCAGTTTTATTTCACTTTTATCGCTAAACTGAAATAAATCCAGTGTAACTTTTCCTTCCTCAGTTGAGGAATGGTTTTGCTTTGCAATTTCATGGTCTTTCCGCCCACCTCCCCCTTACAAAGTTACTTAGAATTTTCCGTGTGTTTCCTGTATGTTTTTTACGGTGAACTTATTTCCTGTATTCTATAAATAACCTATAATGTCTTTTCCATTATTAAAAATTGTCCAAATAGCATAGAATATATAGGGTACAATATAACGTCACCTTCTTTTTCACCCCAACCCTGCTTCTTTCCCAAGAGAACTCCTGTAATAATCTGGCATATCCATTCCAGCCATTTTTCTATGCATTTATATTTGTACAAATGCACATGTAAAATATGTCGTATTTTTTTTTAATTTTTAATGTTTGTTTATTTTTTGAGAGACGGAGACAGAGCACGAGCAGGGGAGGGGCAGAGAGAGAGGGAGACACAGAATCCGAAGCAGGCTCCAGGCTCTGAGCTGTCAGCACAGAGCCTGATGCGGGGCTCAAACCCGTGAACCGCAAGATCATGACCTGAGCCGAAGATGTTTAACTGACTGAGCCACCCAGGTGCCCCTAAAATATGTCATATTTTAAATATAAACGGATAACACTAACTTGCTTTGCCTCATGAAGTAAGACCACTTCATGCCGGTACGTACATTGAAACTTGAATTCTTCATAGGATTCCATGCTCTAATTATAACCCCCCCCCTTTTTTTTTTTAGCTATTTTTCCATTGTTGAGTGTTTAATTTTGTTTTTTTTTCTATG